TTTCCTAAAATTTAATTTTTAAAGGCTGGTGTATATGTTTCTACAGATGTGTGAGGCCAGAAAGTGACATTGACTGCCTTCCTCAATCACTGAGGCCAGAAAGTGACATTGACTGCCTTCCTCAATCACTCTCCACTTTATTTCTGAGACAGGGCTCTTCATCAAACCTGGTGCTTCCTGATTTTCCTAGACTAGCTGTTTATTGAGCCCCCAAGATCCCAGGGATCCTCCTGTCTCTGCCTCTCCAGCCCTGGGATAATGGGATCACACTGTCACACATGGCTTTTTTATGTGGGTGCTGGGGATCAGACTCACATCTTCATGCTTGTGTGGTCAGCACTTTACATCACCTGGCCTCTTCTTACAAAGCATTGTTACGGATTGGCCAAGTGAAATTAGAAATATACAAAACAAGAACCCAACTACACAAGATACTTAAAAACAAACTTATTCTTCCTCTCAAAATGATCAAATTAATCAAGCAGAAGAAAGCTGAGCCAGAGACTTTGGCAAAGCATTTGCTTGTGCCCTATACATCATAGGTGAAAGGACACCAGTGCTCATGACATGGCTGTCATGAGCATTGAAAGAGTCACAACCAAACACGGTGCAGGGCTTACACACACCATTGCTACAACAGATTCCGGGAGTATTTCGGGGCAGAAAGTGATGGTGAATATTTGAATATACCACAATAAACGGGTAGATCTCAGAGTGAAGGAAGGGGCCATTCTAGATTTCCAGAACAGATGTGTTCTAGAGGTTATTGGTGTAGCTTGGTGTGGTACAGTGTTTGCCTAGCAGGCATAAGGTCTGGGTTTAGTTCCTGCAAAACACACACACACACACACACACACACACACACACACACACACACACACTTCTAAATGTAGTCAAAGAATTTGATGTTTACTTTTTTTATTTTTTAAAACAATTTTTTTTACATACCAATCCCAGTTCCCCTACCTTCCTGCCACCCCACCCTCTCCACTCCTCAGAGAAGGCGAGGCTTCCTATGAGGACTCAACAAAGTCTGTCATATCCTATTAAGGCAGGGCCAAGGCCCTCCTCCTTGTATCTAGGCTGAGCAAGGTTTTCCTCCATAGGGAAAGGGCTCCAAAAAGCCAATTCATGCACTAGGGATACATCCTGGTCCCATTGCCAGTGGCCCCATAAACTGCCCCAGCCACACAACTGTCACCCACATTCAGGAGGCCTAGTTTCGGGTTCCCCAGCTGTCAGTCTGGAGTCAGTGAGCTCCCATTAGCTCAGGGCAGCTGTTTCTATGGGTTTCTCCACTGCTTTTTCCTTTCTTTCTTTTTATTTTCTTTTTAAAATAGAGTATGACAATATACTTTCCCAGTTTTAACAGATTAACCATGGGAAGTTTAGTCAGGATTTGCTTTTTGTTGTTTTGTTTTTCGAGACAGGGTTTCTCTGTTTTGTTTTGGAGCCTGTCCTGGAACTAGCTCTGTAGACCAGGCTGGCCTCGAAACACAGAGATCCCCATCTCTGCCTCCCACGTGCTGGGATTAAAAGTGTGTACCATCAATGCTCAGCATGTTTTGCTTTCTTTTTTCATGTGATATACTGGAGAGCTGAAGTGCTTAGAGCGAGTCACTAATGTATCAAAATCTTTTTTCGCATTCTGACTCTTCCTTTCTGGTTTCTATTTTACCTGTCTTCTGAAGCGGTTGGGCGAGTAGTTGTTTCGAGCGGGGTGTGCAGCTCATTAGAGTAAAAGGTGTTTGACAGGATGTCAGCTCCTTCAAGCTCCCTGCAGCAGCAGGCCCTGCCATGCATTACCTCCATGCTTCTTGCCTATACTTAGGCAGTCTGAAGAGCAAATAAGATACATGAAAGGTGAGGGCGATTTTAATTTTGGAAACTGTCTTGGTTAGTATTACGACTTTGCCTTAGGTAGGAAACATTTTCTGCAGCCAAAATTCAACTCATCGATGCACAAAAATCAGAGGCTTTCTTACTTACTGCCTGTGAGGGTTTGGGGACTCTGTCAAACCTGTAATAAACAGCAACTTCTGTAATTAAAGCCAACTTCTCAGAAGTAACTTCAACTGAACACCCGGAGAACCTGTAACGAATAAGTCCCCTACTGCAGTTCACTCTTGCTCAAATTTAACACACTTTCTACCACGGTGGCCTTTCTATGAAGCAGGGAGACTGACTCATTAACAGGACAAGAGTCTTCCTCTAAAGCAGCAGTTCTCAACTTGTGGATTCCCCACTTGATCCCTTTGGGGGTCGCCTAAGACCAGCAGGAAGCAGATATTTACGATTCATAATCGTAGCAGCGAAAATAATATTATAGTGGGGGGTGTCATCACAACGCGAGGAGCTGCATTAAAGGGTCGAAGCATTCAACAAGATGATGGCACAGACTTAAACTTCCAAGGGGAGGCCTTACCCTCTCCGAGGAGCAGATGGGAGGTGAAGTGGGGGTTAAGTCGGGGGAGTGGGGTGGGGTGGGGGACTGGGATTGGAATGTAAAAAATAAATGAATTTCAAAAAGTAAAAAAAAAAAAAAAAAAAAAACAACAAAACAAAAAGGGATCGCAGTATTAGGAGGGTTGAGGATTCTGGACAAGGTCGTTCTAGTAGACAGATAAACTAGGTGGTCCGGGACCTCTGTCCCCAGAGGGGGACACCGGGCTCCCCCACAGCGCTGGTGAGAAGCCCGCCCGGGCGGAGGACTCCGGGACTGCAGGGCCGTCGCGCCCGCCCAGCGGCACCAGGGGTGGCACGCACCTGGCACATCTGCCCGGGAGCTGCGCCCGCCCGCCCGCGCCTCCCCTTCTTGTCACTGGAGCTGGCGGGTGTCCGCGGGGCGTGGAATTTCGCGGTCTTCCGCACCTGCGGGCCCCGGGAGCGTGCGGGCAGGTGCGGGGGAGGAAGGCCGGAGGGACGCGGGCTGGCCGCGGGCGGGGTTGAGGCTGCCTGTGACGGCGACGGTGACCGCGCACTTAGGTAACACATCCTGAGGGTGGGGCGCCCGGCGGCGGGCCTAGAGCGCAGGCCGACCAGCGGCGGGAAGCTCACTCAGGTCGTTCAGGCAGCCACAAGGGGCCGGAAGTGAGGCGGGAGGGACCTGCCGCAAGCGGGAAGGTGGGACAACGGGCTTTTCCGCCCTCGACCCCACCCGCGCCCTCAGGCCCCGCCCCCGCCCTGAGGTCTTAGCGCCTTCAAGCCCCGGCCCCTCGCGCTCTCAGGCCCCGCCCCCGGCCTCAGGCCCCGCCCCCGGCCTCAGGCCCCGCCCCAAACTCTCACTCTGGTCCCGACACCACCACTGTGCGTCGCCCTTTACAGGCTTTATCCTCGCGCCTCCATCGTAGGCTCTGCCTACACGCCTGTCTCCCCACCACCCCAGGGCCTTTCCTACTTCAGGCTACAGCCTCTCCCCTCCCCTGCTTCAAAGGCTCCTCCTCTCCTCTTCTCCGCACTGAGGCTCTGCTTACACCAACCCGTGCCACCCCGTCGAGCCTCAGGCCGGGCCCCAGGCTGACTCCAGGCGCCCTCTGGTGGCTCCTGCCTGGCAATTCTTTCCTTCCTGGACTCAGGTCTACAGTTGCTCACTCAGTATGCCTTCTCAAAGTCTGAGCTGAGCAAAAGCTCGGTCCTCCTGGAGGAGAGCCCGAAGGTCTCGGTGTAAGAAACGTTCTTATAGTTCATTTGCAGTATGAGGTGCTCTTTAAGTTCGTCAGAGTTGCAGAGAAGCCCGAGGCGCTAGGTACCCCTTCTCCAGCCTGGCGGCTCACCCAGCCTATCTATCTCACAGCTATTAATTGAGAGCCCCTGGTAGCCTGCTGAAAACTATCAGAGAATGGGAAGGCAGACTCAAGGCTAAAGCTCTTGTCCTAAACCAACAAGATGGGGAATTTGGGAAGGGGGCGAGTTCTGGCCGATGGAAGAGTGGATAGACTTTCTCGACATCGGGAATTAAAAACCCATTGTCTTGCTTCAAATCAGTACCCAACCATGTTTGGCCTTTCTTTGTGCTGGTGTTGATTTCCACAGAATTGAGTGTTTAAAAACTGCTTCGCTTTCACTAGTCTTTTGAATTTACTTGTATTTTCAGCACCTTTGAGCTCCAAGGAGGGGTCCGTAGGATTCTACAAGCTCAGACCTGAGCCTCTCTTCTCTTTCCCTGAACGTGGAATGAAAGGGATGGTGGAGTGTAGAGATTGTTTATCTGCCTGTCCCAAAGGCCTGGCCCCTCCCACATTATCTCAGTTCTAACTGCAACCTTGACAGAAACTAAAAACCAAACACTGGACCTGTAATCCCAGCACTCAGTAGGTGGACCACTAGTCTCAGAAAGTTCAAGGTCATCCTCAGCCACAGTGACTTTGAGGCTGACCCTGTCCAAAGAAAGAGAAGGGGGAGGTCAGAGTAAAGATGTCACCTAGACTTAGGCTTCTGAGTTTGTGTCTTTGAAGAACAACCTGAAAGAAACTGAATGCAGAAAGGTGACATTTGGAAGTGGGAACTAAAAATGAGGCAGGAATTTCTCAAACTGTAAGCAAGTCCTAAATTAAATGCTCCCTCCCTCCCTCTCTCTCTCTCTCTCTCTCTCTCTCTCTCTCTCTCTCTCTCTCTCTCTCTCTCTCGGGGGGATGTGCTTCTATGCTGTGAATATATGTTTCTCTTATTGGTTGATGAATAAATGCTGGTTGGCCAGTAACTAGGCAGGAAGTATAGACAAAGCCACTAGATTAGGAGAATTCTAGGAAGAGGCAGAGAGAGAGGCCAGGAATGCCATGTAGCTGCCAAGGGAATGAGAACCAGGCATCATGGGTAAGCCAAGACTTCGTGTAGGTGATTAGATTAATAGAAATGGGATAATAATTAGAGAGAGCTAGCCCGTACGAAGCCTGAACCATTGGCCAAACGGTTTATAATTATAAGCCTTTGTGTGTTTATTTTGGACTAAATGGCTTCAGGACAAGGCAGGAAAGAAACTTCATTTTTTTTTCCTTTTTAAAAAGAATATGGAACACTTCAAAAATTTGTGTGTCATCCTTTTGCAGGGGCCACGCTCATCTTATATCTGTACGGTGTTCCAATTTCAGTATATGTGCTGCTGAAGCGAGCACAATAATAACTATTATTATTGTTGTTGTTGTTGTTTTGACACAGGGTTTCTCTGTTTAACAGCTCCAGTGTCCTGGCGCTAGCTCTATAGTGCTGGGATTAAAGGCATGGGCCACCACTGCCTAAATGCTTTCTTTTTTAAGCTGCCTTGGCTATGGTGTCTCTTCAGAGCAACAAACAGTAATATGTCACCACCCTGAGCTTTGCTGGAGAAGGAAAGGTGGCTTTGACAGTCACCTGTCGGGTTTGGTTTTCAGTTTCTGATGGAACTCCATCCTAATCTTTTAGCGGTTTGCAGCTCCTCTGTGTAAGACCTCCCATTCAACTCCCTGTCTGCCTAGCTTGTTCCATGTCCCCATCTGGATTACTCTTTTCCATTGCTGTTGACAAAATGCCTGACAGGGTTGCAGAGGGTAGCTTCCACCACGGGGAGATACAATGTCTGGAGATGATCTGTTTAAGGTGGAAAGAGCTTGTGGGCAGCTTGTTCACATCTCAGGTGATCAGTAGACAGAATAGGATCCAAAGCGGGGATGAGTATGTTAGCCTTCAAGGCCTGCCCTGGATAGTTAACATTTGCCAACTAGGCCCCATGTCCCAAAGGTTACACAATGTCCCAAAACTGTGCCATCAGCTGAGGACCAAACATTCGGAAACAGCTGGTTGGGGGCCATTGCACATTGACATTCTAACACTAGCCCTCTAGGACTTTCCATACTAAGTTTCTCTGTGCTGTGCCTTGGTGTTTCGTTATGGCTTTAATGTTCCTGCAAAGAAACTAAGTGAGATACATTTGATGAAGATTCACTGTTAGTCCATGTCTGTGGTAACACTAGGGAAGTTGTGGCAACTCTAGGTTAAATGTATGTTAAATAGAATTTAAAAGGGGGAAAATAATGCATAGTCAGTTCATGAAAGGAGGCTGGCATACAAATGCCTTCCAAGAATGAAAGAGAAGATTTGTTAGGAGGAAGAACATTGAAGCCATGCTGGGGCCCCGAGCTGGGAGAACATTAGAAGGAATATAATAGGGTTTTAAATGGAAGGAGAAGCTTCTCTTTAAAACCTGGAGGGATACTTCATTAAGAGAGAACAAAAGATAAGAGGCAAGAAAGCCAGAAGAGGACTGTGTGAGTGTGGGTGGACAGACACAAGCAGGAGTAGTCTTCAGAGAAGTCTCCAACAAGGGAGACACCCAACTACTACTACTACTACTATTTCTTCTCCTCCTCCTTCTTCTTTGAATGGAATATTTACTTTATTTTTTGTTAATGTACCACATTTTCTTTATTAATTTATTTTTTGCATTCCAATCCCAGTTCCTCTTTCCTCCTACTCCCCCCCCCCCACTTCCCCCTGTCCTCATCTGCTCCACAGAGAGGGTAAGTCCTACCATAGGAAGTCACCTAAGCCTGTACCATCATCTTGTTGAGGGAGGGCCAGTGCACCTCTCCACCCCCAAATCCCTGTGTCTAGGCTGGGCAAGGTGAGATACCCAGCTTCTATAACCTTCCAGGGTAGCTGGGCCTTTTATATCATGTGACTTAGTTCAACATCACACATGTGATAGTGAGCATGGGAGAACCAGATACTGGTTAGGACCACAAAACAGAACACAAGACAGCTCTTCACTCTCTGTTCAGGGATAGAATGGTAGGGGATCATGATCTGATTCTCTCTTTCCCCCAGACTATCTTAAAGGGGCCTCTAGCAATTCAGCTATAATCTTCAGGTTGTAGTGTACTTCAATTTTTATTTTAGTTCATGAGTGTAAAGGGTGGAGAAATGTAATTATTCTTAAATTTTATTTAATATACACTGGTGTTTTGCCGGCATATATCTGTATGAGTGCATCAGATTCCCTGGAACAGAAGTTACAGCTGTGAACTGCCATGTGGGTGCTGGGAATTGAACCCATGTCCTCTGGAAGAGCAGCCAGTACTCCTAACCACTGAGCCATCTCTCCAGCCCCTGAGAGATGTAATTATTTTTACTATTGAGTTTTTCCAACTAGAATTTAGAAGAAAGGGACACAGTCTTATCTTTTTAAAGCAGCTGTCCTTTGGAAATGGCTCTGCTCTGAAAGGCTCTCAGAGACAATGTCAGGATTCACTCTTAATGTTTGACCAGCTCATTTGCTCGCTAGAACTTATGGTTTAACTCATCTACCTCAGCCCACAGACAATGAGTGTGTGTCCTACACCAACACAAGTAACCTGCTCATGGGTACTTAGTTAAGCAGTGACTGTTGATGCTCATGGGTACTTAGGTAAGCAGTGACTGTTGATGCTCATGTACTTAGGTTAGCAGTGACTGTTGATGTTCATGTACTTAGGTAAGCAGTGACTGAAGATGCTCATGGATACTTAGGTAAGCAGTGACTGTTGATGCTCATGGATACTTAGATATGCAATACCTGTTGATATCATTAATACCCTCACATTACCTTTCTTCTTCTGAACCCTAACCCTAACCCTAATTTCTCTTGCTAATTTCTCTATCTTAGGAGTTCTTCACACATGGGAGGTAAAATTTAGGATGAAAAGAAATATGCCTAGGAAATTGTATCTGGGTTGACAAAGATTCCAGGTCACGATGAGACCATTTATCTTCACTTAAAGAATTTTCAGGGCGGGCTGGAGAGATGGCTCAGAGTTTAAGAGCACTGCCTCCTCCTCCAGAGGTCCTGAGTTTGATTCCCAGCAACCACATAGTGGCTCACAGCCGCCTATAATGAGATCTGGTGCCCTCCTCTGGCCTGCATACATACATGCAGGCAGAATACTGTGTACATAATAAGTAAATAAATAAAAATAAATCTTAAAAAAAAGGAATTTTCAGGGCATATATAATAATTTAAAGATTGGATTATAGTCTATAACCTAATGGGAGATGTCATTCTATAAATATGCTTCTCTTATTGGTTAATGAATAAAGCACTGTTGGCCAATAGGAAAGCAAGATAGGCGGGACTAGGAGACATGGAGAAGAGAGGAAGTAGTAGGGAGGGATCCAAGTGGAGGACGGAGAGGGAACACCAGCCCCTCTCTCCGGTAAGATGAGACCACGAGGAAGTACTTAGATTAATAGAAATGGGTTAATATTTAAGGCAGAGCTAGCTGATAAGAAACTAGTAACTGGCCAACAGAATTCTATCTAATACAGAGTCTCTGCATATTATTTGGGGCTGGCGTGGCGGTGGGGCAAGACTGGCAGAAAAAACTACTCATAACATAATGGTGTCCAACACAGACCAAAGAACTTTGACTTAAAACTTAACAAAAGCTTAAAAAATGGTTGGACTCTGTTTTGCTAGAGACAAGCAGAGATTTGCGCAGCTCCTTTAAAGAAGGTTTCCCGACTCAGCAAAGTGGCAAAAAACAAAACAAAACAAAAAACAAAAACAAACAAACAAAAAAAAAAAAACTGCAAGGCTTTTAAAGAGCTCTGCTAACAACTTACTAGTGTACGAGAACTGGCAATGGCAATGACCACATTTCCAAGCCGGCAACATGCTGCTGATGGCAGTGTAGACCAAGGCACTGAGCACAGCTCTCAGTTCTGGCAGTAAAAATACCCACAGTCATCTTGGATAGACTGCAGCTAACACAGCTGTGGCTTTCATTTTAGCAGTGTTGTTGTTTACCAGATAAAAGGCTCATGGCCAGAAAAAAGATAAAGATTTACAGTAAAGACAGATTCAGATTAAGAAAAACTGCTAAAGGTTTATGGTGTGTTTTAAAATATATGTAGGCTTGGGAGAGAAAAAGAAACGGGATAAAATGGTTTTAAAAAGAAAGAGAGTAGCTGAGTGTGGTGGCACACGCATTTAATCCCAGCACTCAGGAGACAGAGGCAAGCAGATCTCTGTGATTGCAAAGGAAACTTGATATACAGAGTTAATTTGAGGACAGATAAAAATTACACAAAGAAACCCTGTCTCAAAAAATGAAAACATAAAAATAAAAGAAATAGAGTGATAAAAAAAAGCCACTTAAAGATGGGAAGCACAAAAAGAGTGTGGATACTGTGTGCTGTTCTGTTTTTCTTTAAATTGACTGCTGAAGAAGTAGCAACAACCATTAAAACAAATGCTGCTAGATTAATCCAATTTACATATTTTAAAAATGCTTTGACTCCAAAATTTAAGTCTAAGGGCAGGTTACTGGGGAAAAGGATTTCTATTTTTGTTTCCACGGAAAATGAAAAGCTGTGGATTCCTTCCAGACTAACATGGTTTGATCAAGCCAGACCCCCTGAAACAGCATCCCAGGTGATCCAACATTCAAAACAGTTGGGATAAGCCAGCCTTGCAGACTACAGCCAGGATTTCTGTGTCTTCTTAGGATCCCCATGACAGCGCCCCCTACCAGCAGGAAGCAGTTTGAAAAGAACAATGCCCAAATTCCCAAATATTGTTTATAAATATTTGTTTTCATTTAAATGGGGTTGGTTATAAATGGTTGATGATCACAATCAATCTCTTTTTAAAGGTAAAAAGGGGATTATGGTATAATATGTATACTTTGTTTTGGAATGGATTTTCATTTATTGATAAAAATTTAAGGTCAACTTTGTGATATGTATATTTCTCCTCTTGTTTAGGTATTGTGTTTATATACATTTAGAAATGTAATGTATAATTTAACACAGATTATCAATAATTACCTATGATAGTCAAAACTTATAGTTAAGATTTCTATATGTACAGAGATATATTTGAGATGAATAGGCATTCTTCAAACCTAAGACCTACAGAATGTGGCATTTAAAATGGTTTAGGGTTTTTCTTGACAGTGAGACATAACTGCTTCTGGCAATAGCATCTGCATCAGAATGGAAGATGGACATCGAAGAAACGGGTTATGAAGTTTGCCTTCAACATGGCAAGACTAGCCATTTGGACAAGATACTGCTCTTGTCTGGACTGTTTGTCTTTATGCTGTATAAACTGGACATGCAGGACCCATAGGAAAGTGACCGCTGATACAAGATGTACATT